CCCTTCCCCCCTCCCCCCCTCCCCCACTCCCTCACTCCCTTCTCCCAGTGCGGGCACGGCCAAGATGGCGGCTGGGAGACTACATTTCCCAGAATGCAGCATGGCGGACTTCCTGTCTGGGTGTCCGTCGCTTCCTGTTGTCCAATTTAATATTAACTAGTCCTACATTGAATATTCCAATTTAATATTAACTACTCCTATATTCAGTACTCCAATTTAATATTAGCTAGTACTAAATTAAATATTCCAATTTAATATTATCTAGTCCTATATTGAAATTTCCAATTTAATGTTGACTAGTCCTATATTGAAATTTCCAATTTAATATTAACTAGTCCTATATTGAATATACCAATTTATTATTAACTAGTCCTATATTAATATTTCCAATTTAATAATTACTAGCCCTATATAAAATATTAACTAGTCCTATATTGAATACTCCAATTTAATATTAACTAGTACTAAATTGAATATTCCAAATTATTATTAGCTAGTCCTTTATTATTTAACTAGTCCTACGTTGAATATTGCAATTTAATGCTGACTAGTCCTTCATAATTCCAATTTAATATTAATTAGTCCTATATTGAAATTTCCAATTTAATATTAACTTGTCCTACATTGAAATTTCCAATTTAAGTTTGACTAGTCCTATTTTTATTTTCCAATTTAGTACCGACTAGTCCTATATTGAATATTCCAATTTAATGTTGAGCAGTCCAACATTGAAGACTCCAATTTAATGTTCACTAGTCCTATATAGTTAAATTTCCAGTTTAATATTGACTAGTCTTTTATTGAATATTCCAATTTAAGGTTGACTAGTTCTGTATTGAATATTCCAATGTAATATTAACTAGTCCTATATTGAAATTTCCAATTTAATGCTAACTAGTCCTATATTGAATATTTCAATTTAATATTAACTACTCATATTGAGTATTCCAATTAAAGGTTGACTAGTCCTACATTGAATATTCCAAATTAAGGTTGACTAGTCCTATACTGAATATTCCAATTTAATATTCACTAATCCTATATTGAATATTCCACTTTAATATTAATTAGTCCTGTATTGAAATCTCCAATTTTATATTAACTAGTCCTATTTTGAAATTTCCAATTTACTCTTAACTAGTACTATATTGAATATTCCAATTTAATTTTGACTAGTCCTAAATTGAAGATTCCAATGTAATATTAACAAGTATTATACTGAAATTTCCACTTGAATATTAACTACTCCTCAATGTTGACTAGTCCTATATTGAAATTTCCAATTTAGTATTAACTAGTCCTATATTGATATTTCCAATTTAATATTAACTTATCCTTTGTCATAATTTACAATTTACAGTGAACTAATCCTACATCACAATTTACATTATATACTTGTCCATAATCACAATTTACAATTTTCAGTTAACTGATCCTACATCCCAATTTACATTACATAGTTAACTGGTCCTATATCTCAATTTGAAATTTCCTGTGAACTTGTCCTTTATCGCAATTTACAGTTTTTGATTAACTAGTCCTATATCGAAATTTACAATTTACAGTGAACTGATCCTGCATTGCAGTTTACATTATACAGTTAACTTGTCCTTTATCGCAGTTTACAATTTAAAGTGAACTGATCCTACCTCCCAATTTACATTATACAGTTAACTTGTCCTTTATTCCAATTAACAATTTATAGTGAACAGCTCCTACTTCCCAATTTACATTATACAGTTAACATCCTTTATCACAATTTACAATTTATGGTGAACTGATCCTACTTTTTTTTTTTTTTTTTCAGTTTTTCAAGACAGGGTTTCTCTGTGTAGCTCTGGCTGTCCTGGAACTCACTCTGTAGACCAGGCTGGCCTCGAACTCAGAAATGCAACTGCCTCTGCCTCCCAAGTGCTGGGATTAAAGGCATGCGTCACCACTGCTTGGCTGATCCTACTTCTCAATTTACATTATATAGTTAACTTGTACTTTATCACCATTTACAATTTTCCGTTAACTCGTCCTGTATCTCAGTTTGAAATTTACTGTGAACTGATCCTACATCCCAATTTACATTATACAGTTAACTTGTCCTTTATCGTAATTTGCAGTTTACTGTGAACTGATCCTACTTCCCAATTTACATTATACAGTTACCTTTTCCTTTACTGCAATTTACAATTAATGGTGAACTCATCCTACATCCCAATTGACATTACATAGTTAACTTGTCCTTTATTGCAATTTACAATTTAGGGTAAAGTGGTCCTATATTGTTATTTACAAAATTTACTGTGTACTGATCCTGTATCTCAATTTACAATTTATGGTGAACTGATCCTACTTCTCCATTTACAGTTTAATGTTAACTAGGCTGAGTGTGAGGATGATGGATTAATTGATTGACTGATCAGGACGGATAGAGTCAGTGACAATTGGGAAGGCTGAGTGTGGGATAATTGATTGATTAATTGATTGATCGGGATGAATACAGTCAGTGACAATTGGTAAGGCTGAGTGTGAGGATGATTGATTGATTGATATTGATCGGGACAAATAGAGACAGTGATGGTAGAGACTGAGATGATTGGGAAGGCTGAGTGTGGGGATGATTGATTGATTGATTGATTGATTGGGATGGAGAGATGAGGATGATTGATTGATTGACTGATTGGGACAAATAGAGATGGTGATGATGAAAACAGATGATTGGGAAGGCTGAGTGTTAGGATTGATTGATTGATTGATGATTGATTGATATTGATTGGGACAGATAGAGATGGGGATGGTGGAGACGGAGGCAATTTGGAAAGACTGAGTGTGGGGTGATTGATTGATTGATTGATTGATTGATCGGGACAAATAGAGACAGTGATGGTGGAGACTGAGACAATTGAGAAGGCTGAGTGTGAGGATGATTGATTGATTGATCAGGACAGATAGAGATGGTGATGATTTGTAAGGCTGAGAGTGAGGGTGATTGATTGATTGATTGATTGATTGATTTGATTGATTGGGACAGAGAAGAGAGATAGTAATGGTGGAGACAGAGACAATTGGGAAGGCTGAGTGAGGATGATTGACTTATTGATTGATTGATGGATGGATTAGTTAATCGTGATGTATAGAGATTGATGATGGAGAAGGAGACGATTGGGAAGGCTCAGTGTGAGGATGATTGATTGATTGATTGATCGGGATGAATAGAGACGGTGATGATGGAGATGGACGATTGAAAGGCTGAGTGTAAGGATGATTTTATTGATTGATTGATTGATTGATTGATTGATCGGGTAAAGAGTGGCTGGGTGACCATGTCTGGCTTAGGTCGGCATGTATATTGCTCCTTATTACCCGTCCTCGAGGAAAACATATGTAGCATATTGATGTACACTTCTGCCTTAGGTTTATAGGAGCTCAAGAACACTCTTACCCGTCTTTGACTAACTGGTCATCATTGGCGCACTCTTTCCTGTACAGACCAAAGCCACATTTAATTATAACTAGTCCTATATTGAAGATTCCAATTTAGTATTAATTAGTCCTATATTGAATATTCAAATTAAATGTTGGCTATGCCTACATTAAGGATTCCAATATAATATTAACTAGTCCTATACTGAAATTTGAAAGTTAATATTAACTAGTTCTATATAGAAACTTCTCATTTTAATGTTAACTAGGTTTTTTGTTGTTGTTGTTTATTTTGTTTTGTTTTTGAGACAGGGTTTCTCTGTAGCCCTGGCTTTCCTAAAACTCACTCTGTAGACCAGGCTGGCCTCGAACTCAGAAATCTGCCTGCCTCCCAAGTGCTGGGATTAAAGGCGTGCACCACCACTGCTTGGCATGGGTGGTTTTAAGTATTGATAAGAGGCACTTACATGGCATATAGTCTTCTCTCTTACTGGAGAGTAAGTGTCTTGTATAGCTTCTTCAGATCTATGAAGTGTAGTGTGGGTTTCCTGTACTTTGTTGTTATTATTCATGTGCAAGTGAGTATGTACATGCGTGTGCTTTTAGGTTTGTGTTACCTCACTCAGGATAATAGTTTCTATCCATTTGCCTGAAAAATTCATGATGTCCTTGTGTTTAATAGCTGAATAGTTTTTCCTTTTGTAAATGAAATGAACCACATTTTCTATATCCATATTTTGGTTGAGGTGCATTTGGATTCTTCCAGTTTCAAGCTGTTATAAATAAGATGGCTATGAACTTAGTGGAGTCCCAACTCTAGGTCACCTGCCTTCACAGAGTCCCTCCTATATCTTCTGTTTGTGGAGGAATCACCTGAATTATATGATCATACTGTCTAGGAAGCATACATTTACTTTGTAGTGATGTCAGTATCAGGCTTTGTGTTGTACACATGTATGGGATATTTTAGGATGCAGTGACTTATGATGATGTGCATGTGAACTTCACTGTGGAAGAGTGGAATTTGCTGGATCCTTTCCAGAAGAATCTCTACAAAGATGTGATGCTAGAGACCTACTGGAACCTCACTGCTATAGGTAAGACTGTGAATTTTCTTTTCCTTTTCAAAATAAGGGAAAAATGCTTCCTGGTTACTGATGATCACCTCTTATTTCAATAGAGAACAAGTAATATTGAGTTGAATAAACCAGGTTCATTGCTGCGAAAATTGAGAGTAACTTGAATTTTGCCTGATTCCAATACCATATCATTCATTTTCTGGTATGATGTTTTAGGCTATAATTTGGAAGACCTTCATATTGAAAGACAACCTCAAACTCCTAGAAGTCATGAAAGGTAATTTTAATGTTTAAGCTGATACAAATATGCCTGGGAGGAACTTTTAATATGATCTGGAAGCTCTAAAGCAAAGCAAGTGTGTAAAATATCAGTCCTTTTTTTGCAGCTATGATGGTAATATTCTCACAAAACCATGTACCTCACTGTCAGTTTTCTGATTTGTGTTTGCAAGGCATTCCTCTAAGAAACTGACAAGGAAATAGTGCCTTAAGAGATAGCTTTATTTAATTGGTAGCTCCATTAGAGCTATACTGTGGAACTACCCCCCTGTATAGTCTCATAATATTTAGATGTTGCACATTGAATAGTGATAAATATGTATCCAAAGTCTTTTAATAAACAAAGAGTCCATGGCAAAATTGGTAACACTCATATTCTTTAGTGACATTGCTAAGTTTATGGAGCAGTCAGTTTATGAGATTAAAGTATATTGTCATGGAGAAACCTTAATCCATATTCAGCAAGTCTACAAAGAACCAAAAGTCAAAAGGTGTGAATTCGATGTTTCATTTTTTCTTCTTCTTTCCATTGGTATATCAAGTGTCAGAATGAATGAAACCATATGAGCATAGGGATATTTAAAGGAGCCACATACCTTTTACTATTCTAGGACAATGAGAAGAAATGTAGTATTCTGCCTTTGGGAGGCTCTGTGAATATGATAGATGTTTGCAATTAATTGGTTTTCTGACTTTACTGGAATCAACCCAAAAGTCGCACTGCAGAAAATCCCTGTGGGTACTAGAAATATTTATGTTCTTCTCTTTTTCCTGGCTCCAGGTGCAACTGTATTATGATTCACACTACAGAAAAATTATAAATGCTACCAGTGTTATACAACTCTGTCTCATTCCATTTTACTTCAGATACATGAAATCTATCATATAGAAATCTCATATAGAAAAAGGATATTAGAAATATAAGCCATGTGTTAAATGTTGTTACCATCACAGAAATTGTCAAAGAGGGAAAACAAGCCATAGTGGGGAAGAACACCATGAACATATGAAGTGATAGAACCTTATGCTCTGATTCTTTTTTAATATTAAACCAAACTATAAAATTAATTCATATGGATAAAATGATTGATCAGGGTAATGAATATGATTAAGCTTTCACATGTGCCAATTATCGTTGCAGGCATATAAGAAGTCACAGTGGGGAAAAACCATATGAATGTAATCAATGTGGTAAAGCCTTGTCATGTCACAGTAGTCTCCAAAGACATAAAAGAACACATAGTGGAGAGAAACCCTATGAATGTAATCAATGTGGTAAAGCCTTGTCATGTCACAGTAGTCTCCAAAGACATAAAAGAACACATAGTGGAGAGAAACCTTATGAATGTAATCAATGTGGTAAAGCCTTTGCAAGATCCAGTGTTCTCCAAAGACATAAAAGAACACATACTGGAGAGAAACCTTATGAATGTAATCAATGTGGTAAAGCCTTTGCAAGATCCTGTCATCTCCAGGATCATAAAAGAAGACATATCAGAGAGAAACCCTATGAATGTAATGAATTTGGTAAAGCCTTTGCAGTAACCAGTCATCTCCAGTATCATAAAAGGACACATACCAGAGAGAAGCCTTATGAATGTAATCAATGTGGTAAAGCCTTTTCATATCACAGTTACCTCCAATGTCATAAGAGAACACATACCGGAGAGAAGCCTTATAAATGTAATCAGTGTGATAAAGCCTTTTCATTTTACAGTAATCTCCAATGTCATAAGAGAACACATACTGGAGAGAAGCCTTATGAATGTAGTCAGTGTGGTAAAGCCTTTGCAAGATCCTATCTTCTCAAATATCATATACAAACCCATACTGGCGAGAAACCTTATGAATGTAATCAATGTGGTAAAGCCTTGTCATGTCACAGTAGTCTCCAATGTCATATGAGAACACATACTGGAGACAAACCTTATCAATGTAGTCAATGTGGTAAAGCCTTTTCATTTCGCAGTAGTCTCCAATGTCATAAAACGATCCATACTGGACTGAAACCTTATGAATGTAATCAATGTGGTAAAGCCTTTGCAAGATCCGGTCATCTCCGAAGTCATAAGAGAACACATACTGGAGAGAAACCCTATGAATGTAATCAATGAGGTAAAGCCTTTTCATGTCACAGTAGTCTCCGAAGACATAAAAGAACACATACTGGAGAGAACCCTTTTATCTGCGACTACATAATAGAACACGTTTAAGAGAGTCATTCAGTGTGATCGTGATCGAGGTGTTAAGCCCTTGCATGTCACAGTCATCGCCCGATCCATAAAAGGACATGCACTGTAGAGAAACTGCAGGAATGTCATGATTGAGGTAAAGTCTTTGCGTGACACTGTACTCTCCAAATACTTCAAGGAACACACATTTTAGAAAAACCTCCTGAATGAAATGAATGTGGAAAAGCCTGTATGTATCACTGTAGTCTCCAAAGGAATAAAAGAACACAGATTGGACAGAAATCTTCTGAATGGAAATCAACCAGGCCTTGATTTTTTAATTTGCCTTGCCCAACAGCCTTTATTGTGGCATTCTATTAAAACCTCTTTCTACATACATAGATTCATTCTCTCTATGATTTGAGATATGCTTATCTAGAGAACCTGTACTAGTCCAACTGTTGTTTTTCTCCACTTTGCCACTAATAAAGATGTGCTGTCTACCAATAGTGCTCAACTGTGTTTCCCTTATAATTCTGGCTTTTCTTTAGGGTTGATTGATACCTGTAATCAAAGGAAGCTGCAGTTTCCCTGAGCACAGCATAAAGCCACAAAACGAGACTCTCGTTTCCTTTTATTTATTTATTTAGTTTTCTTTGTTTGTTTTTTGAGACAAGGTTTTTCTGTATAGCCCGGGTTGTCCTGGAACTCACTCTGTAGACCAGGCTGGCCTCAATCTCAGAAATCTGCCTGCCTCTGCCTCCCAAGTGCTGGGATTAAAGGTGTGCACCACCACTGCCTGGCTAAGACTCTTGTTTCCTAAAATCTCTCTTTAATGTTAATGGTGTTAGCATTCTGCCTTAAACTCCACCCCACAGTTACTTGGCAACAGCCAGGTATGCTCCTCCCTACAGCTTCCTCTCTTTAAAGAGAGATGGAATGTGTTCTATGTGTGAGTGGTGAGGTATAGGGTTAAGGGATGTCTCAGCAGGCTCGTGCCTCATGCTGAGACATCTGTTCCCCCTTAGGGACCAGCCACAAGACAGTATAGTGTAGAATATAGTTTATTCAGGACATGGAGAGGGGAGTCAAGAGGGTAGTAGAGGCAAGGAAAGGCAGAGAGAGGCAGAAAGTAGAAAAGTAGAGGCTGGGCATGAGCATGTGGAGAGAGAGGGGGGAAGGGAATGGGAGAGAGTGGGGAATTAATGAACCTAAAACGGCAAAAGAAAGAGAGAAAAGGAGATCAACTGATCAAAAGAATGAGGAAGGGGCAAGCAGCCACCTTTATAGTGGGTCAGGCCTACCCACCTGTTGCCAGGTAACCGGGGAGGAGCATACCTGGCTGTAGCCATGTAACTGGGGTGGAGTTTAGACAGAATGCTAAGAAATAGCCGAGGCTTCCTTCCTCTTGTGGGTCGTATTGATACCTCAACTGCACCTTGAGTACTTGGCTATGGAAGCTATTCACCTTGATTACAGGAAGAAGAAGGGAAGTTCTGTGAGGAGAACTCAGGCAAGGTCTGAAGTCAGGTCCTGGTAAGTGTAGGATCATTGCTCACAGAAGGGAGGTGCAGGTAGCTGAACAGCCAGAGCTGGAATGGTGGGTTCTCCCCCAGGGCTAGGTGTGGTGAGATTCCTTTTTGAAGACAGAAACAAATGCTAATGGGGTGTATACCTCTCCTGAGATCTGGAAATGGTCTGGACCTGCACCTGAAGCACACTTTAACCTTGAGGTGTGGTAGGACTCAATGGCCTATCAAGGCTTCCAGGCAGACCTGCCAATCAGACAAGGAGGCAGGTTCTTCCAAGTGCCATTTTACAAGTTTGCTGAGCCTGTGCAGACTTGAATGGTCATCTGTGCCCTGCTCTGAGCTCTGTTGTCGGGTGCTGTATGGAGACCTCAGGGAAGCTTTGAAATCAAGTCATGGTGAGCACAGGATCACTGCCCACAGTGGGTAGGTGCAGACGGCTGAGCAGTGGGAGCTGGGGTGCTGGGTCCTCTCTGGAGCTGGATGGGAAGCATCAGGCAGACATGACCACCTGTGAGGTTTCTGGTGATGCTCCTCACTTGTTAGATCAGGAGGTGGTGTCTGAGTAACATCACTGTCATGGCTGATTCTGAATCTGCCCAAAACATTTGGACCAGTTGCTTTCTTGTAGAAACATGGGTGGATTCTCTGACTCTGCAGCACATGTGTCCAAACTATTTTGTCATTCATAGTATACATTAAGAAGACAGTCATAAATCTAATAGATCTGCTTTCATACATTACTTGTTTTTGTTTTGTTTAGTTTTTGTTAATTTTTTTCCATTGCAGTGTTTTATATTGCTTTACTTTTTACATTTAGTATTTGATTATTATGTGGTAAAGGGACTTTTTTTTTTCTTCCCATTTGTTGGGTGTTTTAGATGCTTCTTGTACATTAACAGACATCTTCTTCTTTGGTTTAGAAAATTTTTCCTTTTAGATTTTACTGAAAATATTTTCTAGAACTTTGTGCTGCTATTCTTCTTCTATTCCAATCATCTGTAGTTTTCCCTTCTCATATGTTGCAGAATTCCTGGTTGTTTAGGGCCAGGAAACTTTTAGAATCCACAGTTTTTTTTAACCGATGATTACATTTTGTCCTATTCATCTTTAATGTCTGAGACTCTCTCTTCCTTTCCTGTTCCATCGGTGAACCTTGCCTCTGTAGTTTTCAGTGTACAGGTAATTTCAATGGCCTGCTCTCAGGGACTTAGCAAATGCTTAAGTCATTCCCTGCCTCCATCACCTGCTGCTGTTGCTGTTGTTGGGTGTGCTTTATATACACAGATCACCAGCTACAGCAGCTCTCTGTTTCCTGTCTCTGTTCTCAGCACATGCCCCCTCTCTGTTCTCTTTCTCTACTCTCATGACTCTCTGCTACCTGTCTATTTGCCTGTTTGCTGGTCCTCTTGTGTGCCTCTATCCCTTCCCCAGCTTCTCACTCATCAACCTGGCCCCAAACAACCTCTCTTGCACCATATCTGTTGCATGTTTAATTTCTCAGGACCTGCTGTGATAGGATAGCTTGGATTTCTTGATGACACATTTTCCTAGTTGTTATTTATTATATTCCTATGCTGGTGTCTAGGCCTCTGGGTTCAAAGTGGTTATTGATTTAGGTACTGATATCTGGATTTGTCTTGCTCGGGTGGAAGTTTTGTTCCTCTGTTACTGTTTGATGTCTGGATTACAGAGAGAGTTGCCTGAGTGTTGCCTCTTTTACTGATTGGGGCAATCTGCTTCTCTGTTAACCTTCCAGCTGCTTTAGTCACCTCTTTGGCTGCACTGGCCTGGGAACCCAGGGTTAAAGACACTTCACACCTAGGCAGCACAGCCTCTGAACTCCCCATTCCAGTGTATCCTTCCCGGCTCTGAGCCAGGTGAACTTCCCATTTTGTCCTATCTCAGCCATAACTCCACCTTCCTCATGTGGTGTCATGACCTCCTGTAATTGATATGGTTAGATGATTGGTTTTGTGTTTTGACAGTTTCCTCATTTATTATCATCTCTGTGTCATAACTGTCTTAAGTTCTCAACATTTCAGAGCTACAGTCATCTGAAGGAGCCTCAATCGAAGGTGTGCACTCATCAGAATGGCTGGTTGCTATGTCTGTGAGAGATTTTGTTTATGATTGATTGGGAAGGCTCTTCCACTGAGGATGGCAATTGCATCTCGATCACTACACCATTCCCATTCCACCTTACACAGTCCCTCATCCCTGAGTCCTTCCTATCTCCCCAGGGAGGGTTGGGACCACTTAAATATTCCCCAGTCATGGCATATTAAGTCTCTGCATGGTTAAGTACCTCCTCTCATACTGACATCAGACAAGGTAGCCAATTATAGGGAACAGTTTGGACAAACAGATAACACCTAACAGGACATCCCCTGCTTCAGTTGTTGGGGACCCACATGAAGACTGAGTAGCACATATAGTACATATATGATGGGGACCTCCATCCATCCTGTGTATACTTTTTGTTGGTGACTCAGTCTCTGAGAGTCTCGTAGGGCCCAGGTTAGTTGACTCTGATGGTCTTCTTTTGAACTTCCTGTTTCTTCAGA